ACCCAAGGCTGCCTCCTAAAAGGAAGAGACAGAAGACAGGATGGCAGGAAGGAAGGGGGAGGGCTCGGGCAGGTACCTCCTTTAGACTCAAAGTTGGGGATGCCGTGCATGATCACGTGGTGCAGAAACAGGGGCTTGTTGTTCATTTTGATGGCGCCGGAGAGCAGGCCGCTGAAGTAATGCACATATCTGATGCAGGGGGAGGGCAGCTTTAGGCAGGGGCCTGGGCTGGAACAGTCAGCCTTATTCTCCCTTCTGCCTACTCTCCACCGCACCCCACTCCCAACAGCACACACACACCACACACACACACACACACCGCACCCCACTCCCAACAGCGCACACACACACACACACACACACACACACACAGCTAGGTGGACTAGCAGCTGAGCTCTCAGCCCAGGGCACCCACTCCCAACAGCGCACACACACACACACACACACACACACCTAGGTGGAGACACCACACACACACACACACACACACACACACACACCTTAGGTGAGACACACACACACACACACACACACACACACACACCTAGGTGGAGACACACACACACACACACACACACACACACACCTAGGTGGAGACACACACACACACACACACACACACACACACACACACACACACACACACACACACACACACACACACACACACACACACACACACACACACACACCCCTAGGTGGACTAGCAGCTGAGCTCTCAGCCCAGGGCAAGCTTTCCTCTTTGGAGCCCCAGAGGGAAAATCCACAGGTACTGGAGATCTGCAGCTGGGTCAAGCCGAGGTGCCTACTTGGAGTTCTCTAGCACCCCTTGGTGGTGAACATGAGCATCTCTTCCCTGCCTCACTTCCAGCCCAGGAAACCTTCCTGCTGAACCAAAATTCCTCCCCACATTCTGTCAGGCATCATTTAGCTGCTCACCACCACACAAGGCGGGCTGCCCAACCAGAAAGCAGCTTTGCCAGCCTGACAGTGAGCCAAACCAAGCTCATGCTTATACTTACCCCAAGCCTACGCTATGCCCTGGTTCTGCCCTCACAGACCCACCAGCCACATGGTACGCAGCTCAGCAAATAGCAAAAGCTTAATAGTGACATTTCTTTATATTATATTACACCAGGCTAAAGTGCATGGAATCGCTCAGTATCAACTTCTTTACTTAGGATTTGAAATAACTAACTTCCAGTAGTATCCTATCTCTAGAGTTTTTTCTGTTTTGGCAGTACTGAGGTTTGAATTCAAAGCCTTGTGCTTGCTACACAGGCACTCTGCCACTTGACTCATGCCTCCAAATCTTTTTGCTTTAGTTATTTTTTTTCATAGGGTCTCACGCTTATGGCCAGGGACAGCCTGGACAGCGACCCTCCTATTTACACTTCCTAAGCAGCTGAGACAATGGGCATGTACCACCACACCTAGCTTTTTATTGGATGAGATGGGGTCTCAAGAACTTTTTGCCCAAACCACAGTCCTGCTGATCTCCTCCTTCCAAGTAGCTAGGACTATAGGCATAAGCCACCACACCTGGTTTTCACCCCCCAATTCTTCTACATTTGTGTGTGTGTGCGTGTGTGTGTGGTACTAGGGTCTGAACTCAGGGCCTGCACCTTAAGCCACTCCACCAGCCCTTTTTTGTGTCAGGTTTTTTCAAGATAGACTCTCATGAACTATTTGCCCCCAGCTGGCTTTGAACCGTGATCCTCTTGATCTCTGCCTCTTCAATGGCAGATGGTTTGAGCCACCTGTGCCTGGCCCCCCAATTCTTTTAACAAAGATTTCATTGGTAGAATGGAAGACTAACCCACCTCCCCTTCTCTAGACAGAGAGGGAAAATTAGGTCTAGAAAGGGTCATTGAACTTCCCAAGACACAGAGCAAGAACACACATACTGCAGGGTGGACTGAAGGAAGGAAACACTTCTGGGGTCCAATGCACGAACCAGAGGTCAGTCTTTTGCTGCTGATTGATCGCACTTTCTCTTTTTCTGACTAGCCAGAGCTCACCAGGCCGAGTCAGACAGACCAATCAAATGTAGTGTGAAACCCTGCAGGAGTCTACAGCTCCATGAGGAGGGTGGGACCTGAACTGCAAGACCATGACAACGCTCCCCCTGTCCCTTGGCTCCTTGGCCCACCTCCAGGCCCATGGCCTCTGTCCCTAAGCCTGGGTGGGGCCACCGCAGACAACCCAAGCAAGATAATCTGATGGGCAGAGCCAGCTCCTATTCAGGCCCCTGCCCAGCCCCCAGCCCCATTACTCAAAGCGGAAACCTGGAATGGCGGGTTCCCATCAGATCTCCTGATCGTGCCAACAGGATGTGTCTGTGTGCTGGGGACAATGAGTCCCAGGGCTGGTGACAATGAATGGGGGAGCTGCAGGCAAAGCCCCTCCCTCCCCTCTCCTCCAACTGCCCCATTCCCTGTGACACTGACAAGGGGGCCGGAAGTTGGTAGCAAATCCATAGGAAATGCAACAGCCGCACTTTCACATGTGGGCAGATAGGGTGCCCGCCCTCAGCAGACGCTGAGGCAGATAGGAGCTGCAGGGAGACAATGATAGTGTGTACAAACACAACACACACACATGCGCACACACACACACAGACACACACATCCCAAGTGCTTGGCACAAAAGCAAGAGGAACACCATGGACTTGTTCTCTTCCTAAAGGGTAAAGCTAGAGGATTCCCATGGTCTAGGCCTCCCCTGCTCTGCCCATCTTTTCCAAGTCATATTGTGCTATAGTAATGACATGTGTCTCCAGTATCTTTCAAAGTCAAGGCCACACCTTGACCAAGACTAGCAGCCAGGCATGGCGAGCCAGGGGCCGAGGAGCTGGTACTTGGCCAACGGTGCTTTCCTCCCTGGGAAGATTCAACCTGATCCTCAGTTGCTGTATCTGGGGCCTCGCCAGGATTTCTGCACAGAAAGACATCCTGCCTTTTACATTTACATGTGATTTTGATTCACAGGCTGGTCATAAGCTGCTTTGTGCCAGGTGTAAGATGCTGGGTTCTTGAAGCCTCACTCACTTCTGCCTGAGCTTCCCACTAATGGCAAAAAACAGTCCTCTCTGTGACTATGTGATGGGGATGCTCAGCATGAAGAGGCTGGGAAGGTCCACGACCTGTAGCTATGTTCCCAGGGACTAGGAAAGCAAATGGGATGCGTTGGCCTCCAGACCTTTCTACCTGCTGCTCCCTCTGCCTGGACACCTTCCCCTGAACATTCGCTAGGATAATCCCTTCTCCCCACTCAGATGTCACCACTGTCACCTGTCACCTCTCAAACCCCATCAATTTGAGTCGGCCTCATGTCCATGCCACCATTCTCTAGCCACCATGTTTTGTTACCTTGTTTTCTTTAAAGCATTTAGCACTACAAAAATGACCTTTTGTTTGTGAACTTGGGCATGGTCCCTTCCTTGACAGATTCTGTACCATATCCTCAGCATGCAGGACAGTGCTGACATACCACCAGCAGGTAGCAAGCCCACAACTCCTGGCTATTTCAGGAGTGAGCCTGAGTCCCAGACTCTAATTCTCCAGTGTGGCCTTGGGTTTCCTATCATTCTTGTGGCTGCAATCTCCCCAATGACCACCTGACCTTGACACTGCCCCTGGCCTCCTGTGGGTCATGGAACCACCTACTACCTCAAGAGCAGAATCCCTCAGGTCAGTAGGTAGCACAACCAGGGCACCGCCCTGCCCCAACTGTTACTAGACCTTCATGTACATCCCAGCTTTGTCACCACTCACCAGGGCTCCTGGCCATGTCCCTTCCTCAGGCTTCTCATCTATAAAATGAGCGTGGCCTACATCTTCAATTAGGGCTCAAAATCACCACCTCTGAGCAGCTGCCTGGTTGTTCCCATTAAAATAGCCCCACCCCTGCCATCAGCTCTTATCTCTGCTGCATGCCATTCTGTCTCATCGCTATCTGGCCTTGTCTTATTTTTATGGTCATTTGTTTAATGTCCATCTCTCTCAACAGAGCATCAGCTCCCTAAGGGAAGGGACTTTGTGCTGTTCACTATAACACAAAACCATGAATGAATGAATGAACCCATCCCCACCCTACTTCCAGCCTGGACTATTATGAGACTCTAGTGCAAAATATTTTAAATTCCCCCAGCAGAAGATGACCCTTATGGCGGATCTCTGTGATCTCCCAGGATAGACAGAAATGACATCAGCATCCTGCAGACTAAAGCAATCCTGCCTCCAGGGCCAAGAGCAGCACGTGCCTCCTTACACACCTGCTTTCCCCTGACCCGTGCTTCCCCCACGATGGTCTGTCTTCTGGCAAAGGCCTTAGGTTTTTTTCCTTTTTTTTTTTTTTTTTCGGTGCTGGGGACTGAACTCGGGGCCTTGCACTTGCCAGGCAAGTGCTCTTCCACTGAGCTAAATCCCCAACCCTGGCAAAGGTCTTAGAAGCCAACCTAAGGGCACATACAAACTGGCCTGTGTGCTCACCACTGTCCTGAGCTTACGCCACTCCAGACTGGTGGTACACTCCCACCTAAGCATCTATCCCATCCTCTGTGAGTACACAAATCCAGTCTCCACACACAGTGAGCATGTATACATGTGCCCTGAGCTGTAAGCCCAGGGACTCACCTTCTCTGTGACGGCTGGCCAATGGGCACAATCTTATCCTCATAGAATCGCTTCATGGCAAACCGTCCAGAGCCTGGTCCGCACTGTGGGGAAAAACAAGAGATCACAATCAGAACAGCCTACACCACATCTAATAGCTCCTTGTGCCCTCACCCCTGCTCCAATAGACCTGCAGAGTTCTCAGCCAGCCCTGGTGCCTGGTGGGAAGACAAACCTCTCTCTCCAGCCATGCTATGCTGAGAAGCTGTCAGGAAAAGAGTGCTCCAGCATCTCTCCAATCAGCATGGAGCAATGCTCAGCCAGGGGCTCCAGATGGTCTGAAGCCTATCTCAAGTCCATTACTTATTGGTCCTGACACTTAGTCCTTCTGAACCTCATCACCCTCACTTGTCAAGTGAGGATGATAATGACAACTTCCTCTAAGGTTTATGGAGATTAAGTGGTAATACCTACAGAGAACCTGACACAAGAGAGCACATAGTGGGTGCCCAGTGAATTCTCACCACTAAGCAAAGATGAGGCTGGGATGGGTTTCACATAAACCGAGCCCTGCACAGAATACTCTATGCATCCCCATAGAGTTCTCAGAGAGACCATTTCGAGTAAAAAGACAGCTCACATAGCTCCTCCAGGAGACTCCCCAGGGATTGCCCATCACGCCTAGAATAAACTCCAAGGTCCTTAGCAAGACACACAAGGCTGTGCAGTCTGCCCTCCAGTTTCCCCTCCCCTCCTCCTCTCTGGCACAAATTCACCATCTTCCACATCCCCACCCCAAGCCTGGTCCCCCCCGCCCCATGCTCAGCCTACAGGCTTCTCCCCAGTCTTCATAGGACTCATCCCTTCACTTGGTCCCTGCAACTAGGATGGCCTTGTCCACAGGCCACCCTTGCCCACATGTCCCCCTGCCCATTGTCCTCCTCTAATCTAGTCTCTTTTTTCTTTCTTTCTTTTCTTTCTTTTTTTTTTTTTTAACAGTACCAGGGATTGAACTCAGGGCTTGCTAGGCAACTGTGATGCCACTTCAGCAATGCCCCGCACCTTTTTCTTCAGTTATATTTCAGATAGGGTCTTGTGTTTTTGCCTGGGGTTGACCTCAGACTTCAATCCCGCTATCTATGCCTCCAGTATAGCTAGAATTATAGACATGTACCACCATGCCCAGCTCATTTGTTGATATGGGGTCACACTAACTTCTTCCCTGGAGTAGCCTTGAATCACAGTCCTCTCCATCTCTGCCTCCTGAGCAGCTGAGATTACAGGTGTGAGCCCCCATACCCAGCTTGGTCCCTATTCCTTCATAGAGATTATCACCAGCAGTACTGATATATTTCTTTAGTTCATAATCCTGAAAGCAGGCATTGCCCTCTACCATCTTTCCAGTACCTAGCACAGTGCTGGACACAGCAGCTGCTCAAGTCATTGCTGAGTGGACAAAGCAATGACTCCCTGCTGAACGGGCTCAGACTGGGATTCATCCACAGGTTGTTTCCTATTCTTGCCCCAAAATACCTAGGCAGGAAGAGGGTCTAGCTGGCCAGAGGCAGAGGAATGGAGGAGACAATTTCCAGATGGTTCTACCGGACAAGATCTGATCTAAGATTACTGTCTGACTCTCTCCCTGCTCACCCAGGGAAACGGAAGGCAAGTGGCCCCAAGAAGCTGCCTGGATGGGGCACCTCCCAAGGCTGCCCCACCAGGCCCCCAGAGAGGAGGATGGACTGTCCTCTCTGTTACTGTCTGTCCACAGGTTTCTGCCTCAGAGCTTCAGGCAGATGCCTTCTCCTGTTTTGGGGGCTCCTGTGCCCCTCATCACCTCTCATCCCCTCTATCTGATCCTCCCAACCCAGGGAAGGCAGAGGCCACGGTGGATGGGGGGATGGGGCCGGTCATAGCATCGATGTTCACAACGGAGGCTCAGGGCCCTCTGACCTGGCAGAGATGTTGCTGTAGTGCATGTAGGCCGCGATGACAACTCCTATCCTACCTCGGTTTCCCTAAAAGAGGAAAAAAGCCTTTAATTCCAAGGCAGGCTCTGCTGTCCCAGAGCCATCCAGAGGCCTAGAGGAAATGGGAGCAGGGACAGGGGAGAGGGGTGAGGGTTCAGGGAAGAACAGGAGGAAGGGGGATGAGGGAAGAGAATCCAGGGAAACCAAGGCTCAGAAAACACAGTCAGCCATCCATCATAGGGACACAGCTGTAACCCCACTTCTTGCATAGCCCTTGGGACAGAATCTACTGTCCCCTAAAATGGAAAATACACAGACTTACATGTCCACACAATCACATGGGCAGTTTTGTATGCTCATACGATAATACACACAGTTTTGCGTGTTCACACAATCCAAAAACACAGGCAGCGTGCACACTCATCCAAGGACACATATGGGCGTGAGCACACACACGCGCATGTGCTCACGCAGCCCCGCTCTGACCTTGTTGTGTAGGACGACAACATTGTGGGGGTCTGCACTGAGCCAAGTGTCCATGGCCTTGCAGACACTACAGATCTTCTCCAGGGCTGGGGTGTGCAGGTCAGGCCAGCCGAATTCCAGGACCTGTGGCCCAAAGCATGAGTGACAAGAGAAAGAATCAACTGGGCCAGCCAGGATAGCACCCAGAAGCCACCAGCAGCCAGCCTCGGCTCCTGACCCACTTGTCAGCCCTGCTGGGAAGCAGGGTGTGGAGGGCAAAGGCCACTGGTCAGGCCTGGAGTTCCGCTCCGCACTGACTCACTGGGGGTACTCAGGCCATGACCCCTCTCCCAGCCTCAGCTTCCTGGAAAGTGAAAGCTTTCCTCCCAAAGGCTCGGAGCTGAGGACCCCAGGTCTGTAGCACATGACTGACCTCCAAACCAGGGAAGCGCCAAACCCAGCCCCTTAGTTCCCCTTCCACAGATAGCCCGAGGCCAGGGTCAGAATGAGGGAGGATGAGCAAAGGACTCCGTGGACATACAGACCATCCGTTTTGGGGGGGCAGCCAGAAATGCAAAGCACATAGAGGGTAACTCTAAATAGCCCTTTCTAAATTCACAGAAAGTTAAATTTTAAAAAGCCTCTACCTGTCAGAGGCCCCTTTCAGAGGCCCAGAGAAGTCTGTCACCTGCCCAGGGTAACACAGCAAGAGGCCAGAATCCAGGACCGGGGCCAATGTCCACAGCAAAGCCCCACACAACCCACTGAGCAAACAGTAAGCACACGCAGCAGGAATGTCTAGCAAGGATTCTTAACCCACATAAATCTAAAAGCTAAAAATCCCCCAAATGCAGCCTCACCCTGGAGACCCAGGGAGCAGGCCTGGGCAAAAATGACTGCAAGAAGCTTTGCATTCTGTAATTTGCATTATGGAAACAATCAATGGTGTTAACCAGTTTCCAGATATAAGATGACACTCGAACTTTGAATAGACTTTTCAACATGTCCTGACACTTCTCTCCACAATTACAAAGTAGGAACCTTGAGCGAGGGAGCCCCTCTGCTCACTTTTTCTCCCATGCAGGGCAAAGTTACCCCCAAAACAGCCATCAGCTCACCTTATTGTGGAGTTTTGTGATGTCAGGTCTCCGCTCAGAGAGGTTGAACAGCTAGGAGGCAAAAGAAGAGACCACAAGGAAGTGAGGATGAGAAGGGCTGGGAGAGAAGAGAAGTACAGGCAGGGAAGCCTGCTGGTCACACTGCAGATGGTGATCATGTCCAGTTCCTCCAGAAAGTCGTCAGCACGGACCCTCACAGACAGGGGCCTGGGCTGCAGACAAACCACAAAGTCCTGGACCTCCTTGCTCTGTCACTCTCCTTCCCCAGATGGAAATTCTGTCCACCCATGAACACACATTGACCAGCAGGAACAACTATAGGTTCTCAGGCAACAGAGGGGTAAGAACTAGACACTCAGCCCCTGTAGCGGCCATGAGTGGACGTCCTGAGTGAAAGAGGAGAGGGGATGGAACCACACCTGGTGGTGCTGAGTGACAGCGTGTGGCCATCTCTGGTTTGCATTCTCACATTGACTCCCAGACACCCTCCATCAGAGGGCACAAAGCATCCTGGGTGGGCCTTCTCAGACCTTGACACCTTCCCAGCACATGCTCCCCATGGAAGGTCTAAGTCTCTGCCGTTCCTCTCTCCCCTCCAAAGGGGTGTGCAGATTTCTCTGCCTCCACACACTTCTGGGAAAATACCAAGCCCACTGTGTAGGCTCCTGGCAGAAGAATTCCTGCCTGGAATTGACAGCACAGAGACCCACAGAATGCCGTGCTCCTGGAGTCAGGGAGGATCTCGGGCTTCTTGTCCAGTCCTGCACCCCACAAGGAACATACCATATTACATTAACAATGGCTACCACTCAATGAGCATCTACTGCCTGCCAGTCCCGTGCTGAAGACTTCACATCTCCACCAGGAGAGGTCAAGAGTGTCACCAGACCTGCTTTACAGGTGGGAAGACAAAGGCTTAGATCAGCTAAGGGGCTAACATCATATGGTCAGTGGGCAGAGCTGGAATTTGAACTCAGCACTTTTGGATGTTTAAAGCCAGACTCTTAACACTGCTCCAAAACAGCTGATGGATGGGTTTCTACAGTGAGTTAAATAAATACTGTCTCCCAAAATTCATGTCCACTTTAGAATGTGATTATATTTAGAAATAAGACCTTTGTAAGCAGTTAATGATCTTAAATGAGATTGCCCTGGGTGTGGGGTGTCCTAAATTCAATGTCTGATGTCCTTATAATAAGAGAAGCAGATACACAGACAGACACAGGGAGAAAAAAAGCCACATGCAGAGGCAGAGAACGGTGACATCACTACAAGCAAGGAGTCCCCAGGAGTGCCAGAAGCCACCTGAAGCCCAGAAGAGGCAAGGGAGGAGTCTCCCTGCTAGGGCCTCCAGACACCAACACCCTGCCAATGCCTTGATTTCAGGCTCCCGGCCTCCAGATCTATGACACAGTACAGTTCTGTCATTTTAAGCCATGAGTTTCAGGAGCTCTGGGATACACACATATATACCCTCTTCCAGCTCAGCTCTGTTCAAACTCCCTCTGGGCACTAGAGGGGGCATTGAGCCCATGGGTCCCTACAAAGTGGACCTGAGCCCTCCTCCAGGGCCAGAGGCAGGTCACCCTCCCTGCATTAGAGGAGACCTTCACCCACAGGTGTCAGGTAACTGGCTCTTCTGGGCCAGCCACAAAATCCCCGAAGATGTAGGTGCCCACAACCCTGTTCTAAAACTTCTCAGAGATACAAATACCAGCTCTGCCACCCAGAGCGTATAGACTTAGCCAATAACCACACTTCTGCCCTATCTAGTGCCTGCTTCCAGGGCTGTCAGAAAGGTGAACACAGTTAGAATGGGGCCTGGTTTATAGTAAACACTCAGTAACATGAACTTGAGATACTATTCTCTTCTCCTGGTACACACACACACCCCACATGGTTCCAGATGTTGCACTCTGGCTGTGGTGTTCTCCTTAGAATTGACTCAGTCTGGGGAGGGAGTGAGAACTCGGACTCACAAGATGCTCAGGGATAAACAAGGACAGGGAAGAGGAGATGAGCAGGTGGAAGGGCAGAAAAGCATAGGATCAAAAGGTGAGCCACCCCATCCTCACCAGGTAGCTGCCTCCATGTTTGGACTTGAGCATCTGGGCCACCTCTCGGAGGTTGCTCCGGAAGTTCTCCTCATTGGCTGTGCTAGGGAAGGACACAGCAATGATCCTCTCTGTGATGTACACCAGGTCCAGCTCACAGCTGTCCTCCATGGTCCGGCTCACACTCATGTTTCTAGGAAGACAGTGGGCAAAGAGGGTCCAAATCAGAATCTAGCCCCCAGGATGAACCTCAGAGATCTATATATCCCAACACACAAGGTGTGATCCCCACATCCAGCCAATGAGCTTGTCTGATCCTTATCCCAGGGCCAAGGCCAGAGGCTCCCCCTGACAGCACCAGACACAGCAAGCTAAGCAAAGGCCAGTGGGGACCTGAGACCATATCAGAGACAAATGATGAAGACATACATCGACATTTCCATCAACCTGTGTCAGAGCCAGGGCCTGCCTGGTCAGAAACCAATGAACCCAGCCTGTCTCCAAAACACTATGGCTGCCTGGCCAGGCAGAAGTCTCCAGAAAGATCCAGAAGAGGAAGAAGAGGCCAAGCTGGTGCTCCCCACATCCTGGAGGAGAGTCTTCTGCCATCACCCTTGCTCTCCAGCTCTGAGAGGCCAGCCGGGAGGCCTCTCAGGAGAAGGGGCAACTCGGGTGACATGCTCACCCAGGCTCAAGGTAAGCCAAACCAGCTTTCCCCAGCTCAGGATGACTCGGACCTTTGCTCCTGAGCTCTCTCCCCACCTCTGGCTGCATCCGCCACCTAAAAGCTGCTTCTTGGCCATGGCCTCCCTGTTTCCAAGAGGCTCAGGAAACCTAAGGCCAATGAATCTTTGCTACTGTGTTAGTGGTGCCAGTTGGCTTCTCAGAAAGGTGGTCATCCTCCAGACTGGGCAGCTGGGTTGGGGAAGCCAAGGACTCTCACATCTCTATATATCTCCTGGCTTTTCTCCCAGGAGAAAGGTACAGGATGCCCACTAGGTTAGCCCATATGTAGCTTCTGGAAGGGACATTCACCCTCCCACCCTTACACCATGTCAAACTAGCACCACCTCCTAGCATCTTGAATCCCCCTCAGATGATTTCTTTGTTTGTTTTTTGGTTGTTTGTTTTACTTTTGCAGTGCTAGGGATAGAACCCAGGGTCTTGTGCATGCTAAGCAAGCATTCTACCACTAAGCTACCTCCCCCTCAACTTGCTTCCCTCTCAGTCAAAGGTAGGCAAAAGTCTCATTACATTTTGCTAAGCCTCCACTGCAGTGGCATAAGGTCGAGACTGGTGGTGGGTTTAAACGTGACGGTGCCTCTGGCACTGTTGAGTACAAGCTACAACACAGAGAAGCCCAGAACCCAGATCTCCACCAGGGCTGATGTGGGCTCAGGCCCAGGTGTTCAGATGGGCATGGAGAGGGGGTAGCCAAAGATGACCTGTGGCTTCTACCCAGTGGGATTACAGGGGACTGAGTAGTAGCAGGGACCAGGGGCCAAGGGAAAGCAGTCCAGTTTCAACTGGACCTGAGTCCTGGCCACTCCTTGTCCTACAGAAAACCCACGGCAGCCATTGGGATGGAGCTCCGATATCAGGCCACTGCCCATCCTGGCCAGCCTGGGACAAGAAGCCAAATGCACATATACCTCCAAAATGTGAATTAAAAGGCAGGGATCCTGGCTAACGTGGAGCAGCCCCTTCTCTACCCTCCAGAGTCCCTCTGTCCTGGCTCCAAGAAAGGGACTGTACTATCAAAAAACATATAGACTCAGTGCCTATCTTTCCAGCAGGGAATATTGTGGTGACACATAAGAGTCAGACTTGTCCTGGGCACTGACCTACCAGGAAGGATGGGAAGGCAGAACAGTGCCACCAGCTGGACAAGATCTGCATTGCACCTTCCACCCACCCATCCCAAGTCTGTTCCCAGCTGCAAAAGACAGAAAGGTCCTGTAAAGAGCGATCACAGTCTATGTCTTCAGCCACCCACCAAGGCTGACATTGTGACTCATCACAGGAGCCTCAGGAAGTGAAGGTCAGTCAAAATGGGAGGGGGGGGGGCTGGGGTATGGCTCAAGTAGTAGAGTGGCAGTCTTGCAAGCCTAAGGCCCTGAGTTCAAACCCCATATAGCCCAAAAAAAAAAAATTACTTTCTCTTCAAATAAACCTTAGAAGTAAAAGAATAAACTAATCTTGACCTGAAAAAAAAAAAAGAATGGGAGGGGGCCCAAGCCACAGAACTGGGACACAGGCAAAACAGGCACACAGCCTCTGAGCATCCCACTCCCCACTTGGAGAAACTTCTTTTTATGAGCAACATCCAACACAGAAACCCTGTCTTCAAAAAATGACAGCAAGCACAGGTTTGATGTCAGTCAGTCCCAAGTGCCGCCTCTGGGTGGTTGGGGGACCTTTAACAAGTCATCTCATCTGCCAATGTATGTACCTCATACTTCACAGTGCTGTTACAAGGACTGATGAGCTCATGCAGGTAAATTAAGAATCCAGCTCAAGGTCCGACTTAGCATTTAAAGTTTATGTGACAGCTGCCAAGGGCCATCTACCCTCTCCCTCTGGCTATGGCTCCGTGGCTTCAGTCTTGGAACCCAGGGGCAGGACTCAAAAAGAACACCCCCTAGGACCCCACTGCCTGTACCTCCTCCCCACACTCCTGCAGGCCAGGCATACCTGATGGGCTGTGGTTGAGGCTGGACACTCAGGGCGACCCTCGTGGAGCTCTGGGAAAGAGAGACACAGCGTTATGAGGGGACAGGCAGCGCAGTAGAGAGCTGTCCACAAGAGTAGTCAGCCACACAGTCTCATCTCATCCTCTGTCAGCATTCAAGCCCTGACAGCCTGACACCAGCCACACAGCAGCCCAAGGCCCAAGGCAGACAATGCCTATATGAGTATGCCCGACTTTCTGCAAGGCCCAGAGGGACAGAAGGAAGAAATCCCCAATGCCAAGAAACACCGCCCCCCCCCCAATCTGGGCTAGTCCCGTCAACACTAAGGACACATCCCAGTAACAGTCACTGAATCACTGGAACCCCATTTTCCTCTCACTGGATGGTTGCAATAGTAATCCCAAGTGTAGAACACAGACCGCAACTGAGCATGTGATAGGGAAGACGAGAGTGACAGTCCCAGGTCCACCTCCGAACCTGTTGCCCCCCACTCCTCTCCCCTTCTCAAAAACCACAACCTCCAGTCATTCAAATCAAAACTTTTGAGAGGAAAAAAGAGGAGAATATGACCTAAGTACATTGTGTGCACATACGAAAAGGTCATAATGAGACCCATTTTTTACAATCTGCAATCCCTAAGAGAGAGAAGGTTGGGGGAGGGAGATAAGAAAGAATAATGAAGGGTAAATACGATCAAAGCATATTATACGCATTATAGAAATATAATGCAACCCCTCACTTTGTAACATTAATATGTGCTAACAAAAATAACTTTTTAAAGAATGTTTTGAGACAGAACAGCAGGGCATGTCACTCTGAACTGAGTCAAGGGCTATGGTAGTGGGCCAAGCTTCTGAGGACCCTATGTCCGTTACCCCATCTCACCCACTTCAGTTCCCAGGACTGTTGACTGTACAAAATTAGGCAATGGCTCCAAGTTTGGTGCCTCAAACTTCCCAGGGCAGCAGGGGGGCCCAGCAGTGAAAGCACAGGCTCAGAGCCCCACGGACACCAGGCTCTGGGCTCCAGCATCCTGCCCAGGCAGCCTTGCTGGGGACTTAATCCTCTGCACCTTGAGAAATGTCCCTCATGAGATGGGACAAACCTCCAGGCCAGTGTGGGGATGGAAAGGAACTAGGCATATGACACACTCTACTTCACGCCTGGTACTCGATAAATGACAGCTGTGGCTTTGGTTGTTGCTATTAGATCAAGTGCTACTAAAAGGGAAGTTACCAAGAGGGTACTTAACAACCACCCACCCCTACAGAAAATCAAAACCCTGCCCCCATTGCCTCTGCAGCTCCCCATCCTGCCACCCACCTCACATGCCACAGGGTCTAGATGTCCAGTCTGATTTTTCTGGATTCCAGACCCATATGAACCCCCTGAGTCTTTGGACGCCTTCCAAATACCTCTGTGTCTCCCAGAAACCCACCTGCCCTGATCACCTAGTGGCAGCCACCACCTGGAAGAGGCAAGACCACAGTCTGCCAGGGAGGGGAGACATTGAGGCACAGGTGACTCACCCCTAAGTCCTTGGGAAGCTGATGACCCACCAGGATTTGCACTCCAACCTGGGCTTGACCACAGACCTTTGGCTGGCCCTGCAGTGCCTAAGAAGCAGGGTGGGGAGCTCTGAGGCCTGGCTCCCTGCTGAGCCCAAAGTCAGGGCAGCTCCTAGAGGAGGGCCCTCCATCAGCCACCCCAGAGAGGGCTGTGACCAGAGTCTCCGCCTGCTGCTAAGGGCTCTGAACAGCTCAGCTGCAGTGTGAGGAGAAAGGAGCCAACTGGGACTCTGGGGTGGAAAGTTTCTCAGTCTTGCAGCTCTTCTGGCCCCAAGGACCCAGGGTTGCATGAGTCAGGCGAGTTGGTATGGGGGTGGGGGTGGGGGTGACTGTGGTTGGTTTTCAAGCCCCAAACCAGGCTGTTCCAAAACTACCCACCCAGAGGAACGCCAAAACCCAACACTTCATCCATCCCATTCTGCCGGGCATTGATGAGGAGCCCCGGACTCTCCCCAGGCCCTGGGCCCAGTGCCAGGCCCCAGGGCCACCCTGCTATAAATAGCCCCTCGGGTTCCATCTGCTGCTGATCCAAAGCCACTTTTGGAGGAAGCTGCCGCAGCTGCTGCAAACAACTGGAAATCACAACTTAGCCAAGGCTTGAGGTGTGGCCAAAAGCACGAATCCAGGCGAGGGAGCTACAGGCAGACCAGGGGATGGACTGGAATGAACTTGGCAAGGGAACTGGGGAGCAAAAGGGGAGCGGGCACCTCCAGAGGCACAGGGCACGAGGAGGAGAAGGCCAAAGCCCTGGCTCCCGTTTCTCCCCCACCCTTCCGAACGTTACAACACTCCACATTCCTCAGCCTCCTGGCCCCAAAAAAGCCGGGGAAGATAAATAAAAACTTGGCTCAAACAGTCTGGCTGTGCGCCTCCAGAGGTGATAAGGAAGGTCCCAGCCGGCTCTGCTCCACTGGGCAGCCAGGGACAGGGAGGCAGGGGGAGGAAGCTACCCTGGACAGCAGCCCCACCCCAGAGGATGGAGACCAACAGCTGGACTGTCACCCCATGATGAATCACTGGGCTGCCCTCGAACCGACAGGGCTTCCTGTTTTGTGCAAAGTTTGGGGGCATGTGACCCTTGCTGGCAGAGAGCAGATATGCATGGGGACACGTCTGAGAGTGGTGTACACAGGGGCCTAAGGAGAGCAGCGTGGAAGCAAGCACACCCCCAATGCTGCAGCGAACCAAGGTGGCCTCACAGATGACACCTTCGGAAGCATGTGTCATCAGGTAGGCACTCGACAGGAGGGCAATAAGTCGAGGCCTCGGGTCAGCTCCACGACACCTATCACAGTGGGCATTCCCTCTCTGGATAAACGTTCACTGAGGCCCAGCTGTGTGCCAGGTCACATTCTAGGTACCAAGGAGCAGAGAAAGTGAAGTCCTCAACCTCAGAAAGCTTACATTCTGCCGTGAGGATACTCAGGAATGGTCCCAGTGGTAGACACAGCAGCCCAGGCTCTTTTACCCATCTGTAAAGCTACTTCACTTATAGAGTCCCCGCAACCCTGTTCTTTACCTCTGGGGATCGCAAAGCTCTTCACTCATGTGGCTTTAAAACTTCCTCCTAGCCCCTCCTAAGTCACAGACCAATAATAGAACTTTTGATGCAACTCCTTAGGCACCAAAAAGAACTCTCTCTCCCTTATCTTCATTTCCAAATACATCTCTCCTTTGCTGAAAAGGCACCATGAAAGGAGATTCCACAGCCTCCCCTAAAACAGCATCATAGTTTTCTCACTGTCAGGAAGTCCTTCTTGGTATCTAACCCTCATCCTTCCTGCTGCAGACTCAGCTGACAATTTTTTGCCTTGGTCCTCATTCCAGGCAGGAGCTAATCATCACTCAGACACTTCTAGATGGTTCAAGGTCTATGACCCCAGGCTCCATTATTTTCTGCCTTCTCCCCCACCTCAGCAAGAGTGGGAACCTCAGGCCTGGGTGGGGCTGGCTTACAGTGACACCCCTGTGGGAAGAGGGCTGTCTTCCTTTGAGGTCCACAGGCCAAACAAAATACCTCTGGACCAATAAAAAAGGCTGTTTCCTGAGCCCAAAGGAGAGGAAGGTCTGTGAGTGAACACAGGGGTCAAGTCAGCCAGCCAGAGATGGCGGACCTACATCAGGGGCCCATCCCCATTCCTGCGTCTCCTTGGGGGCTGCAGCCACCCCCTCAGACCCAGCCCCTGCAGCCACACCCCTTCCTCTCTCCTTCCTGCCCACCAGCCTGGATTTTTCCAAAACAAAGTGCAACAGAGCACACCATGCACAAACTCCACTCCACACCAACCCTGTCGGAGGAAAACAGCTCTTCCTGCGCTGTGAGTGTTGGGCCACAGGCCAGAGGCAAGAAAACAGCTTCTCAACAGGCCCATTGTCACAACGGCAGGCCAGGCTGCACCCAGGCTGCCTTGCACACGAGCTCTCCTTCCCAGGGGGGACTACAGGGAGCCCCACCAACTTCGCCCTGCCATCGTCCAACCCGGGACAGGTGTCTGGGAGCCTTACAGTTGGGCTTCCTCTGTTGCTATTCTAGAAGCTTCTCAAACGCTTATCTTCCACACCCACCTTCAGCCAGACTAAGTAGACCCATTTTGTCCTTCCTCCCATGCCCAGACAGACACCACCCTTACCCGCCCTGACACACAGACACATTCACTCCAGATCAGCAAAACTTTCTTCCAAAAAATAAAACACAAAGCCCTCAATACAGTTAAATGGCTACCGCTTTCTTTGTAGGACCAAAGCCACGCATGCCCTCTTGGTCAACAGTTCTTCATGAAGTCTAACCTCACTCTCTCTTGTGCAACCCTAGCAGTAACTCTAGGACATGGCTTCTAAATGTGTCCAGACCATCATCGTTCTAAGGCATGGTTCACAAGCTACCACCCTCCTGACCAAGGGTTAGGAGTCCTGGACAAAACCTGACCCAGACAGGTGTTGTCGCAGGAAGGAACTGAGTGACATTCGTGGAGTTGCTCAAGTCTGTTTCCTCCTCTGTAAAATGGTGTCATCTGCCATACACAGGTGTCATGAAGATCTAAAAACACCCAACCCCACTCCTATCATTTAATTGAGATACCAGTAATAGGAACAGCTAACATTTATTAATCACAAATTATAAGTTTTGAGAACCTTATTGCTAGTTTATCCTCAGTAGTAGGATAGTAGCAGTAGCAGTAGGAGGTAAAAATTAGTTTCCCCTCACTCCAGCTCAGAAATATCACAAACCTGAGCACCTCCTGGGTATGCATGCCCACGCCCACAGGAACCACTCATACCTTCACCAGCGCCTTCCCTGACAGCTCGAGAGGCTGTGTGCCCCTCGGACAACTCCGATCCTCAGGGCTGAGCATTTGGGCACCCAGGGTGACCAGCAGTGACAGTGGGTGCCCACAGGAGCTACAACCCCGCTCCCCGGCACCTCCCTACAGGGCCCTCCCCGAGGCGGGTCAGGCAGCTGTCAGATGATACAGCCTCATGCCATCAACAGCTCCCCCTGTGCCAACCGCCAAAACCACTCCCTGCTCCTCTGCAGACGGGTGGTGAGAATGGATCGGCCAGCTTGGGAGCACATCAGGGAGGCAGGGAGGAAACTAGGGGCCACCTTTGTGAGGGTTGGCCCCACGTGTGGAGACAAGCCAGCCACAAATAAGGCTCAGAGGAGGGTTCTGGGAGAGCTGGGATCTTCCCTCAGCTCCCTCCATTTAGGGACTCCTCCCTCCCCCACCCCAAAAAAAAAACACAAGACAGGAAGAGCCTAGGGGGACAGCCAGCCCCTCTTCCAGCATCCTCCTTAATCAGTGGCATTAAAGCCACACAGGTTCTCCACTTTCCAAGGACTCCTGGCTCCAAGGAAGCAGCCTGACAATGGCCCTGAGGTCTAGTTACCCCTAAGAGCCCAGGGGTGCTCTTCTCCGCCTTCATCCCTACCACTGTGGTTTACCTACTTCCTCCATCCTTCCCAAGATGCTCATCACCAAGCCAGACTCTCAGCTGTGCTCTTGCCCCCTCCCCATCCCACCTCCGTGTCAGGGACACGTGAGCTCTGGACACAGCCTAGACACGGGCCAAGGCCAAGGCTAAGGCCCAGTCTGTGAGCTGGTGAACCAACAGGCCTGCTCTCCTCCCAGCCCTACCAGCTGATCCAGCCAGGCCCACCTTTCCAGAAAGGGGACCCACACAAGAGCAGCCTGAGGGGTGCCCACCTCCCACCCATTCCCCCTGCAAACCAGGGGCCCAGCACAGCTTCCCTTCCTCTCCCCATGCTTACATCCTCCTCCAGGCTTTTCCGAGAGTTTCCACCCCGGGAGGCTCCTTCTCCCTGTAGGCAGAAGAGAGGCAGAGAGGAGTCAAATAAAACAGTCAAGGGCACGGGGTCTTCCATATGCTGAGTGTCAGCGGTGGAGGGTGAGGCGGTTTTCAGAAGGGCCCGGGAGGAAACCTGCATTACTTGAACATTTCTTTGTCTACTAAACACCCCTCAGAGCTGGTAAACCCTCTCATATGTGTCTCACCAGAACCTGTGGGAGACACTACTAGTCCCATCCCTGGCAGAGTCTGGGTTTGATCTCAGCATGCCGTCCTGCCGGCCCGTGGTGGGAGATGCCTCTCACTGGTCAGCCTCGATTTCCTCACTGCAGAGCTACCCATGTTTCTACCCTCCTCTTCCACCCCATCATGAGGAAACTGGCTTTCTCTACTCAGCCAGAAGGGTCTGTCTGGAAAGGTATGTCTGGCTTTCCCACATTCTGCAGATTTAATTTTAAAAGTCCATGTTGATCCACTGGATTCTCCCTCTCTGCCTGCCTAGCTCCCCACAGCTATGTCTAGACACACAGGGACAGCCAGATGCCGGCTCCAAGGTCACCAGCACCCCTGCTACCCACCCCCCAAGTTCTCCAAATCCCAGAAGGATGTCCCTGGCTACCTCATTCATTTTCCTTCAAATCCAACCCTCGACTTCCTGACCTCCTCACTCATGCCCAGGCTGTGCCCCGCCAACCTGATGTCACTCACCACGTCCACTACATTCTTCGGAGCCTTCTCAGTGGTGATGGGCTGTGGACAAAGGGAGAAGACTGTGTGAGGCTCGGGCAAATGTCCCCATGCTAGCTCGCTCCCAGAACTGGTGGTTGTGATGGCCTCCTAAGGCAAGGACGGTAACACCGACCCAAAACTCAGACATCAGCTGGCTGGCTCCAAGCTGGAGAGGCAGAGGTTGCAAAACCATCCAGTTCTATAAACTAGGTGCCCAGTTGTGAGCCTCTGACCTACACAGTCACCAACCCCTCAAAACGGAACAAGGAACAACGATACGCGTGCCTCTTGCTCCCACGAGCCGGTTGTGTCTTTATCCATGACAAGAAGCCAGGGGGATAGAGACCTGTGGCCTTTTAGCCCCAGTGTACAGCTACGAAGCTAAGTGAGCAACCCAGAGTACTGGTTCCCCAGGTAGGAGCCTGCCGACTTCTCCGGTGAGATCTGCAGACCCCCCACCCTGGATGGTGCACACAAAGTTCTGCTCCTTCAAAACCAGTCTCCCCTTGCTCAGTCCCACACCCTGGCATTGCCTTGCAGAATGATTTCCTCTCTTTATTAAGTGGAGGATCTCCTCCTCCATGAAGCCCTCCCTAACCACCCTGCGAATGGGGCTCTGAAATCCCAGTGGCCTCACTGCCTGTGCCACTTACTATGACCTAACCATTGTTTTATTTGAGATTCTTAGTCTACCTTCATCCAAAACATATCTAAAGGAACATTTTTACTCCCTCACACTAGGGGCCATGATTGATGGTGGTCCATCAGTAAGCACCTGTCAATTGACCACCCCAGAGCCATTCTTCCTCAGCCCAGGCCGACAGAAAGGCATTCTGGAAAGTGGCCTCCCTGGGCCCCCATAGGAGGAAGAGACACTTCTGATTCCAGGCTCACCTCCTAACCACTGTCTGTTCCATCTGCAACTCAGTGAAGGAGCCCTTGGCTCAGGCAGAAGGACACATGCATGACTGTAAAGGATAAAGAAAGGGCAAGCAAGGTGGCTTACACCTGTAATTCCAACCACTTGGGAGGTAGACATCCAAAAGGTCATGAGCTGAGGCCAGTACAGACAAAATGTTATTGGACCCCCATCTCAACAAACCAAGGTAGGCAAGGTAGGCATACCATCTATAATCCTACTCAGGAGGTAGCAGCGATAGAAAGGTCATGGTCAAAATCAGCCTGGCCGGGCGCTGGTGGCTCCCACCTATAATCCTAGCTACTCAGGAGGCAGAGATCAGGAGGATCGTGGTTCGAAGCCAGCCCAGACAAATAGTTCATAAGACCCCATCTCAAAAAAATCCTTCACAAAAATAGGGCTGGTGGCGTGGCTCAAGTTTAAGGCCCTCAGTTCAAACTCCAGTACAGAAAAAGAAAAAAAAAGATCAGCCTGGACAAAAAGTGAGAGGCCCTATAGGAAAACAAAGCAAAATGGGCTGGAGGAGTGGCTCTAGTGGTAGAGCTCCTACCTAGAAAGTGCAAGGCCTCAAGTTCAAACCCAAGGACCACCAAAAACAAAAAATTGCAAGGATGTGTGCAGGGCAAAAGACAGCAAGCCTCAGAACAAGAATGCCTGCCTCTGGCCTCATCTCAGAACCCTGAAGATAGGGAAATGAAGGAATGCAGTATAGCCCCTTCCAGAAATGTCCTAGTGAGTCCACTCCTCCTGCCCAGCTGAGCCAAACCTTCTCTTCAGGGGATGACACTTTCTAGCAGGTCAGGGCAGGGGCAGCTTGGGAGGTAGATGGAGGATGGGGCCCAGGCACACAGGAGGGACAAGGTACAACAGCCACACATCTCCCAGCATCCCACTCCTGAACTCCAGGCCACTAGACCCACAGGGAAATGCCCAGGGCTCCCTGCTGGGGCAGTAGCTGCTCCAGACAAGCTGACCCTCATCCCTCTGAAACAACTCAACCCCACACATCCCTCTACTAGGGACCAGCCATTGGTCCTGCACAACCATGTCAGCCCCTACCTCACCCAACCCCAGCCCCCATGACCGCCAGTCTTCCTCTTCTTATTCAAGGTCTGTCATGTTCACAAGGAGCCCTCAAGCTGGCCAGGACCACCAAGTGCCTCTCTCTGAGCCACTCTGGTCTCCTAGGTACTACAGGGAAAGAGGCGGGTTCCAGAAGGCAGACGCCAGGGACTTTTCACAAATAGAACCTCCCTAGGAACAAAATGCAGACCCACACAACCAACTCCATAACCCTCGGTGACAGTGAGGGCCCATGGTCTCCTTAGAATGGTCAGAAATGGATCAGCAGTGGGTGAGCTGGAGGTCCCACTCTGGAGACCACCCGGAAGGCTGGTCCCCAGTGCCTGGGCCCCACCCAGAGCTTCCAAGTCAGTCACACACAGAACACCCTAGAATAGCTCCTAGCCAGGAAGCTCCCAGAATATGTTGGCTCACCCTTGGGGGCGCCACTCATGCCCCAAGGGCCACCCTGCCCCACCTTGACCCTTGCCCACCCTCCCGGATCTGGCACAGGCAGACAAGGGAGCAGGCGTCAATATTAGAAACCACAGGCCTCAGCAGAGCAAGAGAAATGTTCTCTTCCTGCCAGCGATCATCTGAGCGCCATCCTCTTTGCCCCCACCCCTTCCCCTTGCCAGCTGGAGGCCAGCCATAGGGTGACACGTGCCAGCAGTCAGATGCCCTCAACTTACTGATCCACATGCTGTCTGAGGAGCTAAAAATTTCCAAAAAGGCCTCCCAACCCAAACACCCCAAGCTGCCCTGCAGTGTTTGCAAATCCAGTCCAGCATGCCTAGCCACCCCACCCCACCCCCTGCCCCAAGTCTCCCAGGATTGAAGTCCTGGTTCTGTTTCTCAACACTGCCAGCCCCGGGGCTGCTGAGAATGAACAGGGCAAGGGACTGGGAACAGGAGGGCAGGGCGTAGGATATAGCTGCTCCATCCTGGGCCCAAAGGGAGGACAGAGCCATCGGGAAGCTCCCAGGTCAGCAAGGGCTGTGCTCTCATGAGTAGCAGCCCCAGACCTCTAAGATGGCTGGCAAAGACCCACCGGGCCCTGACTGTCACCGTACTTTCAGCTGTTAAGTGCACACGTGCACGCACGCGCATACACATTTTACCCTTCCCTGGTTTATTTTTCTTCTTAGAAAGCATCACTCTCCAACACACTATATATTTTTCTTACTAATCACATTTAGAGTCCGCCTCTCCCACTAAAACAGGAGTTCCCCTCTCTCCAGGAACCTACAACAGTGCCTGGCACACGGTAGGCCCTCAAGAAATGTCTGTGGGGTGAATAAGCCATGCTTCCTCTCTTCCCTGGCACCTGACAGTGCTCAGCATTCACTGACAGTATGGCAGGCACCTCAAGCCCCAGAACTGAAGCCCCTCATCTTTTTTCTTGGTGGTACTAGGATTTGAACTCAGGGCCTTGTGCTTGTTAGGTAGGTGCTCTACCACTTAAGACATGCACCCATTCCTTTTTTGCTTTAGTTATTTTTCGGGTAGGGCCTCATGGTTTTCGGCTGGGCTGACCTCTGACCTCGACTGTCCTACCTCTTGTGTAACTGGGATCACAGGCACATAGCACCATGCCCACCTTATATGAATTGGGGTCTTGCTAACTTTTTGCACTGGCTGGCCTTGAACAGTGATCCTCCCAATCTCTGCCTCCTGAGTAACTAGGATTACAGACATGAGCCACTGCACTCAACTCCTTGACTTAGTTTTGGGCCAGGACCCTTCCGCACTCCACCTACCCCCCACACACACAGACACACATAGCATCCTGCATGCTACTCAGAGCATCAGCTCTGCAAGGGCCTTGGGACATCATCTCTTCCCTCTCTCTGCTTCATAGATGGGAAACTGAGGTACAGAGAGTGAAGACCCATCCAGCATCTCATGGCGAGGGTCATGGCAGGAGCGGGGCTGCTCCCAGGCTTACAGAGCCCACTGCCAGGCTCACCTCACTACCCTTCTCCCTGGTCCCCCAGCCAACCTGCAGGCAGGGTCGGCCAACACCTCAAGATCAGCTGCATTTTACCAAGGCTGCATATAAATGGAGCCCAAACACAGCGACACCATCCCTCTGGCCCCACCCCTTGCCTATTCCCAGGACCAAACCTGCAGCTTACAGACACTAGGCTCTCCCAAGTGAGGGCAGCTAACTTGAAGACCATGGAAGGCAGGATCTTCCAGAACCCCTGCCTCTAGGCAGTCCATTTCGGGGTCCGCTTGGGAGCACATGGCTGAGTTTGGACATGCACTATTTTAAAACAAAGCCCCGCCCTTCATGTACTGCTCTGTCCTAGTGTCTCAAACCAGTAGTGTACAGCAAGGTGGGACTAGGGTGAGAAGCTTAGGCAGGAAATTTAGGGAGGCATCCCTCAGGTTCTGAGATTGTACCTGTCCTATCTGGAGAACTGCACCTCGCACCTTGCACCCTAACTGCCTCCCTTGCCTCCCCTAGTTCTGACCCTGGTCTGGAGGCACAATTAATTTCTTAAAGCAAGAACAGCAATGCTTATGAAAGTTCCTGGGACAGAGCTGAGGACTCCTTGTTTTGCTGATTCTAAGCCTCATAACCACTCTGGGAGGTGGCCTTAGCCCATCTCACAGGTGAGGCAGCCTCCATGACTTGCCCAGGGCTACTTAGCCAGTCACAGGAGAGCTGGAGTTTGGGTTTGCCACTGACATCCTCCTATTTCTGGCCACCATCTTTCTCAGTCCCTCTCACTCCTGTTAGGAACCCGTGCTTTCTGAGCAGCCCCTGGGTTTCAGGGCTCAGTTGAAAGAGACTTCATTGCACTTCCATAGGGAGAGCAGGAAGTGGGCTGCAGTAGGAAAGGTGGAGATCAAACAGAGAGAACTTCCTGAATGTGAGGGGTTGTGAACCACAGGGTAGATAAGGAAAGCTGCACACCCCCTCTTCATTTATTTCCCAAAAAAAAAGACATGCATGCCCTCTCCATGCATGCACTGACAATCCCTGCCATGTGCACCAAGGAGGCGGCGTTCGGGGTTCACGTAGTAGGAC